GTCTGATGCAAGTTTAAGCTGTTCTGGTTTGGAATAGCTGAAGTAGTAACTCTTGTAACTCTTCTAACTTTAAATCTTTCTTACTGATGTTGGGATGGAGAGAGAGTTTTTTATATCACATACCTACATTTGAAATTCATCTGATGAATCAGATGAAGGTAATGGGTACCATTCACCTAGGAATATCTTATCCTGCCAACTAATTCAGTGTCAAGAATCTTTCCCGGTGTTTTCCCCATATGAAGAGATTAACATTAAATATATGTTTTGCCACGGTTTGGTTCTTAATGAAGATTTGCACTGGAGTCAACATTTTATCTCTTCATTTTCCATTTTATTTTCTGCAGCTAGTTGATATCCTTCTAATTAGGCGGGTAGCTGATGATCATCCATGTTGTGCTAAAAATCAGAGTTCAGTGTTGAGGATCAGTGACAAAAGGCGAATGAAATACTGTAATTTTCAACTGTAATTTTAAATTCTTAAGATTTTTATCTTAAAGATCTTAAAAATATTAAGACTTTTATTTTTCATTTTACCAAAAGCACTAGCTCAGTGTAATTAGTTGTGTTTAGTGTTTTTCATACATTTCCCCTTTGAAAAATACTTTCTCTTTTCCTTATCCATAACTGTGCATTTTTGAACACCTTAGAAGTATAATGTTTAAAAATGAATGTGATAGTATTCTTACAGTAACTGAGAAAAGCATATTACTGTTCCGAGCTTAGGTCCTCATGATGATAGTATTTGCTTTTCTGATAAGTTGTTAAAACATGAAGTCTTGTGATCATTAGCAGACCTTACAGGACAGAGTCCTCTTTTAGACACTCTTTTAGACACTCTTGAGCTTTTGAGTAATTTGACATGTTCTGTGTGAAAACAGCACAACCTTCTGCAATTGCTAAATGAGTGATATTAATGAGCTCCCATTTTTAACTATTAATGTCTTCCTGTAGGACAGATTACAATCAGAAGGATTACACTTTTCACAGTGACAGATTGCTAATGTTTGAAACTAAAGGTTATTGACTTATCATTATAGTTAGGATTGTTGTTTATCTTAATCTCATGCTACTCTGGTATAGACAGGTCCTTAACGGGGCCTTAAGGGAAACTTGCACTACAACTCTGCTGAGCAAGTATATTTCTGTTTCAGTAAAGTAGTATCTTCGAAGCACAAATGTCACTCAAAACAAGCCATCAGTGACACCTAGGCAGTAATGTTCATAAGTAAATATAATCCACACATAAATGAATGAATAGAAAATTATTTTTTTTCAGCCTCGGAGTGCTGCATCAAAACTGGTTTCAAAAGAAACTGAGTAAAATTTAAAGTGATGTTGCCAGATTAAACAACTTGGGTCTCTCCTCTTGTCATATGTGCAGGTTCAAAATCGTTTGAATGGAATTGTTACTCAGGTGCAGCAAAATGACAGCCGTGCTCTACTATATGCAAGGATTCAACAGATCTGAAACCTGCATTGCTTTGGGACCGCCATAATTCCATAACTTCAGTGAAGATATTGAGTTTATGCTAACATAATAAGGAGAAACTTAGTTCTCTTATCTTCCTCAAAGCGTGCTCTGCAGCATTTTAATGCTGCTCAGGAATTAGCAGAAATGCCAATCATGCTTTAACAGAGCCTAAAAATACCCTCTAGTCAAATGGATTGTCACAGAAATACTGAAAATGTAAAAGGACCCACAGTTCCTGCTTTTTTTTTATAGTTAGTTGCATGACCCTACTCATGTATGAAGAGTCTCTCTTGGAAAGTGGCATATGAATCAAAACCAGATACATTTTATAATTATAGAGACTGTATAATACCATGATTTAGCATAAGCCCTGTGTAAATAAGCATGTAAAATGAAGAGTTTCTGTAAATGACTTTGAGGTTTGAATATTTTAGGGGGTCAATGTCCAAAGTGTGTCCCCCTGAATAAGGTCCAAGCTGTCTTTGAGCAGCTAGACTTGCCAGTAGTTGCTACACATCTGAGCTGTTGTAAACGTGAGGTGGTCTTGAGGGAAAGGGAGATGATTTAAAATAGCTTTTTGCTGGCTTCTATGTCAGGGGCAGGTAGGATCTTTAACTTCTATGCTATCCACTTACAAGACATTTAAGCATAACATAAATATAATGGATAACCTTTCTTGGCATGAAAAACTTGAGATTTCTTGTGTGCTTGTTCTGGCGGGAAGTTCCACCATAAGCAAGTTGCTCTATCTAGTAAATCATATAAAAGATTTAATAATATTTAGAGCTCTGAATATCTGTCATGGAGCTGGATTGCCTTTTAATTATTTTTACAGGTGCTAATTAGTCTCTTCAAAAGTGCTTCAGTTACTTCACCTTATTTAATATTTGCTTGTTTGACTTTTTTCTTTCTTGAAAAATGTGAATTATAATGTGAATTATAAAATTCTTCCATATACATCTCCAATAAGTACATAGTTCTTTAACCACTCTGCATGCTTACTCTAAAGTCACAAAATAAAACATTTATATTTCTTATTTATGTCACTATTCTTTGCTGTTCTCTGAGGAGGAAAAATGAAGGGGACTTGAAGTTCTCTTAACGTATTTTACTCTTGAAAAATCAAGCAGCTCTCTTCAGTACCCTTGCTGCTTTATTTCCACAAAATCCTACCAATAAAAGGGCACTGTTGAATACTCTGGGCCTTAGCTTTGGTGTGTTATTTGCTGTCTTCAGACTCATGGTGAATATCCTGGTTGGTTGTAGCCTTTCTGGCGCAGAGCATGAGCTGTAGGATCCTCGGCAGCGGCTGTGAAGCGGTTGTTCCCTCGTCCTCCTGCTTAGGAGACGCCTCAGAAGTGAAGTTTTCAGCAGCTGCTTTTGAAGTGCATGTACCTACATCCTCAGCGTTACTCGCCTCTCTGATCTCCCTTCCTCCCCGCTGTGCTGAGCGCTTTCACAGGGTAAATACTCGGCAGCCTTTGGGGCAGCAGCCCCCTCGGGGTGCTCCCTGCGCTGAGCTCACCTGGCCCGTGTGGAGCCGTGCAAGGCTTGTTAGCGGCAGCGTATAAACGTATAAATGTCCTCGCTTCTGTGTCTGCCCTTCAGCATACGTTCTTACGGAAATATTCTTTTGCACTCTGTTTTAAAGGACTCTCTTTTTTTTCCCCGGTGAACGTGCTGGATATTTAAGCTCCCTTGAGGCAAATGTTCCGAGTTGCGTCGTACCTTGGTGCAATGAGATTACGGAGGACCAACATCTGCACGTACACACTCTGGTCTATGGCACGCGGGCTTCAGCCTAGTTAGCACTACGGAACGGAGCTTGTGGAGCTGCAGACCTACATGTTTATTTGCGGCTACTTGGTTCTGCGTATGCAACAACTCTTTTTCAGCCTTTGCAAGGCACATCCCCCGGCCATTCCTTGGACGTCTGCGCAATTAGTTTAATGAACTTTGCTTCCAAGTCGCTATGCGATTAGCAGCCATTAGCTCCTTGTCTTGACGGTTTTGCAGGTTACTTAACTGCGGAACGTGAAATCCCCTCTCCTAGTGAGAGCATCAAGACGTTTCCGAGGCGGGTTCGGCGCGGAGGGCCCCGCGCTGCGCGGGCAGCGCTGCCTCCCGCCCTGCGGCGCCGCGCGGGCCGCGTTCCGGCTTTAGCAGCCGCGGCGGGAGGAGGGAGGGACGGAGG